GATATAAGATCTTTTTCTTCTTCTGTTACCTTTATTTGATGTCTGTTGTTGTGTTGTAAGTAAATGTGTTTTGTTTTTTTTTAAATGAAATTAATAAATGTTTGGAAAAAATTATCTACAAATTAAAAAAACTCTGATAAAAAAACAGATTTTAAAGATGAACAAGAGTTATTCCTTTGAGCTGATGGGACAAAAGCAAAATAAATGTTTTCTCATATCAAAGTGTCCTTAAATTAAATATTTATTCATGTCTTTGTTTACCTGTGAAAATAATCAAGATGACAGAAACTTTTCTAAAGGCCGTATTTAAACTCTTTGTGTTCTGCTCTTTGATTCCCCCGTCAGTCATGTGACTCCAGCTTTGTTTACACTGAGTGCAGACCTGCATTTYAGAATATCCATGTGAAATATCCATGAGTAAACTCTTCAAACGGCACTATTTATAAAATAAACGTATTAATAAACTTATGGCAGCACGATGGATGTGCGGTTAGCKCTGATGCCTCACAGTAAGAAGGTCCTGGGTTCGATYCCTGGTTYTGATTGAAGCTGTTTGTCYCCAGCAGCCTGCCATGGACGCAGTGTCCTTCAGGACGACCTGCAGACCAGGTGGGACGCCACGGTGGAGAAGCTTAAAGATTACGTCACAGACCTGAACTCCAGGGCCGACGAGATCCTGAAGGACATCAAGAGCTCCCAGATCAGCCGAGAGCTCGAGTGAGTCTGGCTTTATTCAGGCCTTCGGCTGTTTGAACAGACAGGAAATCATCCCGAGACAAATCTGACAGAGAYTCTGTAAAAATCAGATCTGTGATTCTTAAAGTATGAAAATAAGTTTCAGATTAATAAACAACAAAATGAACAAACCTTACATCTAATGGAAGTTTTAAAAAAAATGAAAAGATGTTTTTGTTTACTGGAAACAGCCGAAATGTCTCCATTTACATAAACAAACAGCNGAAATGTCTCCATTTACATAAACAAACAGCTGAAATGTCTCCATTTACATAAACAAACAGCTGTGTTTACTGTGTTTACGTTAAGCATGGGCCACATGTTACAGTTTAAAAGTGCTGAATTTGTGGAAATAATCACAGCAAACTCTAATCTGCATCATCTGATATAGTTTGATTCGTTACTCAGATGTATTTTTAATCTAATTATGTGCGTCTCAGACTTCCGTACATCGGTTTGTTTGTTTTCAGTTCTGTCCTTTAAACTTTAAACTCTGACCAGTTTCTGACAAACTGAACTCATCTCCTGATTGAGCCTAATCAGTCTTTAATCAGCTGATGGTTAGGAGGACTGGTTGGACTTGGACACGTCTCAGTCCACCTTCCTGAACCCCTGACCGCTCTAATCTGAGATTAAATCTCCCTGATTTCTGCAAATCTTCAAATCTTTGGATGGAAGATGTTTTCTGGACCTTGAATCCTGGTCTGTGTCTTCAGCACTCTGATCCAGGACAGCGTGGCGGATCTGTCCCTGTACAAGGACAACCTGGAGACCAAGCTGGTTCCGTACACCCTGGACACCACGGAGCGTCTGGGGAAAGAGCTGCAGCTGCTGGGGGACAAGCTGAACGTCCACGTCACCGAGGCCCGGGACCAGATGGACAGGTACTACCAGGAGCTGCAGGCCTTGATGGAGCAGAACGCCGACGACGTGAAGGTCCGAATGTCCGCCTACAGCCACAAGCTGAAGAAACGTCTCCAGAAGGACACCAAGGAGCTCAACAGGTGACGTCCTGACCCCATAAAACAACATCCAGATGTTTCATCACAAACAAAACGTTTTTAAAAATCTGCTAAAATTCACATTAAAGAGAAATAAAAACTCATTTTAGTTTTTATTAAAACAAGCTAAACAAAAACGGAAACTGGCAGAGCAGTAGCTAAGAGCTAACAATAGATAGTTTGTAGAGTCCAGATTTAGAGGAAAAGTAGACACTAGCTAAAACTAACATTTAAAAGCTAAATATAGCCAAACAGTGACTAAAATCTAATTTCACCATGGCAGTATTAGCTAAAAATATGTGTAAATTGTGGATAAAATTTTTGATTTAGGATAAATTAAGCTAACATCATAATTTTAAAAGCTAAAGTTAGCAAAACAATAGCTAAAGGCTAAGTCCACCAGAGCAGTATTAGCTAAAATTAGATACATTGTGGATAAAATCTTGATTTAGGAAAAGCTAGAAGCTAACACCATCAGTTTAAAATCTAAAGATAGCAAAACAATAGCTAAAAGCTAAGTCGATCAGAGCGGTATTAGCTAAAATTAGCTACAAGCCAACATCATCAGTTTAAAAGCTAAAGTTAACTAAAAGCTAAATTCACTAGATCAGTATAAACTAAAATTAGCTAAATTGTGGATAGAGTCTTTATTTAGGAAAAGCTACAAGCTAAAACCATCAGTTTAAAAGCTTAAGTTAGCTAAAAGCTAACATGTGGAGTTCCTCAGGGTTGTGTACTTGGTATCAAGTTATTTATTTTATATGTGAATGATTTGGTAAATGTGTCGGGGCTGTTTTATGTGTTCTGTTTGCAGATGATACATTAGTTTTAGAAAGCTAACTTCTGAGACCTGCTCTGGTTTCTGTTCTTCAGACAAATCTCTGAGTACATCGAGGAGCTTCAGTCCCGTGCCTCAGGTAATGTGGAGGATGTGAGGACTATGCTGGACCCGTACGTCTCCCAGGTCCGGGACAACACAGAGGCCAAGATCAGCACCCTGAACGAGCTGATGAAGTCCCAGGTGGAGGTCATCAAGGAGCGCCTGGAGGTCTCCACCGAGGAGCTGAGGTCCAGTCTGGGCCAGAAGGTGGAGGAGCTGCGGAACTGGTTCCAGCCCTACATGTCAGCCATCAGAGAGGCCATGTAGTCCTGATACCAGACCGGTTCACCACAAACCCAGTTCAAGACCGCGTCAGAAAGAATCCATGAAATTTATGTAAAAACCTGAACCCTGACAATAAAATCCTCCAAATCCTGATGAGTCTTTTTACTGAGAAACTTTTCTTTTCAGTTTTTATATTTATTTAAAAAAAGGTAAAAAGTCTGAAAGACAAAATATTTTAAATACGATTAAAGAAAATTTGAACAGGAGCTGCTGTGAGGCAGCGTGCACTAAAGCTGCGCATGTGCCAAATAAATATCAAACAAGAACAAACAGCCGAAATAAAAACATAAAATACTTTTATTTAAACGGATAAATATAAAAAACAACTTTCTAATATCATGAGACACTTTGTCGAAAAAATACACATCTGAGAATAAAAAGCATTTATAATTAAAAATGTTGCTCAAACGAAAAAAAAAAAACAAGTTTTAAAATGTTTAAAAACTATTACAGTTCAAAGTAATTAAGAAGCAAAATAAAGTTCAGAAATAGAATAAACTTTCTCCACAGTGTGTGTGTG